TGGGGCAAATAATTGACCCAAATAGCTAGAAAAGATGGTTGTTTTTTTTTGGTCAAGCTACAAGTCTTAACACATGCTAAAACCCATCATCATGTTTCAGTAAACGAACAGAGTTCCATGCATCCCACCTATGCATGGAAATTCCAGAGATATTTATTGCAATGGAATATGCCCTCTCTCCCTGGAGGGATGCATCCTGTTTACTCAATGCCGAAGAGCATTAGGTTGGCAAGAGCCAAGGCTTGGGGACCCCTGATGTTGGTTGGGGTGCCGCTGGATCTAACCAGCTAAAACCACATAACATGCCATTGATATCACTGTCTGGAAAGCTTCTTGCTGCTTATCCAGGTAGGTCCTCCCTACCTGGGGCTTTGGCTTGCAAAGTTAATAGAAGTAGAGTCCAATGACTGGTCTGCCTTTCCAAGTCCTGCCGATAGCCAGCCTAGCTAAGCTGTCACCAGCAGTGTCCTGGAATACTGCAGACCCACTTGGCTCAGGAATCAGACTACTAAGACTGCCACAGAGCACAGAGGATGGACTCTATTCTGACATTCCGTGCCAAACATGTCACCTTGGAGCCAGTTCAGATCCAAGGAGACCCTATTCCCCCTTCCTTCCACCCCCATACCCCTCACAGAAGCTCTTTGTCAAGAGCTGAAGAAAAATCTTCTGGTACATTAAAACGTTTTAAAAAATCTGTCCTGCAATTTATTCGAAATTTCCTTTTGTTCATTTGTGTCCACTGATGCTAATTTCTTGCATTACTTCGAATAGCCCTGGTATAGAATACTGTTTTTAATAAAATAATAACTAGCATTTGTTGCAGCACTGTCACATTGAAAGGTCTTCAGAGCTTTTTGCACAATGAAGTGTAGGACTGCTCATGGAAGCAAATGCAGCAGCTAATCTGCATCACCCACATATCAAAAATATCGATGAGATGAATGATTAAACTGAATTTTTTTGTTAATATAATATTTGTATATACTTGAGTTCTCCACAACGGCTTCTCCTCTAGCCCCCACACCGTCTCCTGAGGTGTTCCTCAGGCCTCTGTCCTTGGTCCCCTCTTCAATATCTACATGCTCCCTCTTGGTGACATCATCCGCAGACATGGCGTCAACTTCCGCATGTATGCGGATGACACCCAACTCTACCTCTCTGCCTCCACCCTTGACTCCAGGACAACTGCGGTGCTGACAGAATGTCTATCAGACATCAAGTCCTGGATGAGAGCTAACTTTCTTCAGTTGAAAGTCAACAAGACTGAGGCTCTCTTGATTGGCTCCCTTCAGTGCTTCCTCACCTCAGGCATTGACAGCATCACCATCCATGGTTGCACACTCGACCTTGCTAAGCCAGTCCAGGACCTTGGGGTCTTGTTTGACCATCAACTATCCTTTCTACCACACATCTGTGTCATGACCTGCTCTGCCTACCCCCCCAACTCCACAATGTCACCCGGCTCCTCCACTATCTCACACCGCAGGCCGCCGAAACCCTCATACATGCTTTTATTACATCGAGGCTCGACTATGCAAACTCATTGCTTGTCGGCCTCCCCAACTCCTCCCTCCACAGGCTGCAGATCATCCAGAACTCTGCAACCCAGGTCTTCTCCCGCACTAGGCTCTGCGACTTATCACCACCATCCTTGCCCAACTCCACTGGCTTCCCATCACACAGAGGTTACAGTTCAAGATTCTGGTCCTCACCTTCAAAGCCCTCCACGGTCTTGCTCCCCTCTACCTCTGCGACCTTTTAATCCTTACCATCCTGTTCGCTCCCTCTGCTCAGTGGGCTTTGGCCTGCTTCACATCCCCCACCTTTCTCACCCCACTATTGGCAGGTGGGCCTTCTCCCACTCTGCCCCCACCCTCTGGAACTCCATCTCGCAATTCCTCCGCCTCACCCCCTCCCTTATCACCTTCAAGACCCATCTCAAGACCCTCTTCTTCAACCGTGCTTTCGATCTCTCTGCTTCCCCCATTGCCCTCCACCCTCTCCACCCCAACCCCCAGCTCTGGTCCATAATTCTGTCTGTCCAGCGCTTTGTAACATCCTCCCGAAAGGCACTTTACAAATGTAATTTTGTTGTGTTGTTGTTCTAACATGTTAAGTTTTGCACCTTGCAAAGAAAGCAAATAAGTACTTTTCCTAATGAAAGTATATCTTTTATATAGCAAAGTGATTAAGATCGAATCAGGTGTGGTGTAAAGTCTTATTGTAAATTGAGTAGTCTTATAATCTACTGTTGTGTTGTATATGTTTTAGCATTCTATTAGATTTTATATTGTTTCCTTGGATTGTCTTGATATTGAAACTGACGTGCCTACCAATACTCGTAAACCCCTTTCTGAGTCTCTGTGCTATAATTCATTTCCATGTATTATTTTTTCGTGTCAGAATCCTTATCAGTACTAAATTGCATTTGCCAAATGTTTATCCAATTGTATGACTAATCTAAATGAATTGCACAGTTTGCTGCATTCTCTTTTGCTGCTGCTCTCCCATGTTCTTGTGTCGTTAGCCAATTTGACCAGCTATGGTTGGTTTTGGTACCAGCCCAACAAGAGAGAGAAAGAAAGGCAGAGGCCAGTCAACTCAAGAAAGAGAGTGAAAAAGGGAGAGAGAAAGAAAGAATAATAACTTACACTTTTATAGCACCATATCATGTTATCATGCCAAAATATCTCATAATGTTTAAATTATTGTCAAGTGATCTTGTAGCCAAACATGGAAGAAACAGCAGAAATTGGTAAGTGAAAAAATGGCGTGGGGAAGGGGAGTTTTCTTTATTTCAAAAAAACAACTTGTATGTGAACCAGTCTGCCAACATTCTGTTTTATAAAGCGACTGAAAAATTGACTTTGCACCTTTTCACTTTGTTAGAATTAAGAATGAAAACGACCATTTTTGTGTGAATCTTTTTGATTTGGCAGTTCCTGAGGCATTATTTAAGAACGTAGGGTGAGAGGGACGTTTTTTAATGATTGCTTGATTTTTGTTTAGTTGTCTCCCTGTTCTCCTCTCTTGAACTCAGTGACCGACGCTGTGGCACCTTGCCCACATTGCCGGAGGCAGTTGGCACTAGATCGGCTATCTGGCCATGAGAGGTATCGCAGCTCCAGCAGATTGTGTCATCACCTAGATCCACATACGTACACTTTCCAGCAGGAGTAACTGGATAGAGATCAGAAGCGGAAATAGTTTTGTTCCTCCCCTCTCTAGCACAGGGACATTGTAGGCAACTGTAATGCCTCACTGCTACTCAGCTAAGGTCAATTAAGAGACCACCAGAGAGAACTTTGCACTTTGCATGGGTCAGCACCCTGACGTGAGGTGCATTTCATTTGAAGAGACCATGTGGATTGTGTGGTCACTTTGAGCATTCAGCAGTTCAGTGAGTGTAGTAATTTTTGTTCCCTGGAGATGGCCTTTTGACAAACACCAGAAAGAAAAGTTTGAAATGCTCTGCTGTCGATCCTCGTAGCAGTAATGAGGAGAATTTCCATTTAGTAAAGCACTGTGTGATTGAAATCATAATGTTCCTATTTTGTAAACTGCCAAAGCACTTACTGCCAGATGATTGTTACCCCAGCCACTCTCTGAATAAATCCAAAATGTTACTTCCCGTTTCCCAAGGTATTATTGACCTAGCACTTTTCAACAGCTAATGTCTTAAACAGATGAGTTTTTTAAAAAAAAACCTTGGGGAGTGTTGCTGGCAAAAAGAAAAAAAAACAAGGTTGTCTGAAATGTGTGTAACAAAATAAAGGAAAAGTCTTTTTTTATGATTCCGTTCAGTTTGTTTAATAATACCGTACAGTACAACTTTGAACATTGGTTTGCAATCCAGAGCCAGGACAAATACTTTAACCTCCAGACTATCTTAACCTTATTGAGCTGAGACCAGAATTGGATTATGCTTGGCTTCCCGTACAGATGTGCCTCCTTTTCCTTAAAATGGTCTCTTTTTTTTCATTTTACATGCTTTGTTTCCATCCACTGTCTCCTCCTTAAACTTGATTTTACTCACCTTGGAGCTGCCCACCTTTGTTTCTATAATCTTGCACAGAGAAGACTAAGTAGGCTCCTTTTGATAAAGGTGTCTAAAATTATGAATGGTTAGACAGGGTGGTCCAACAGGTGGTCCACAAGCTGATTTCTTACCCCCCCCCCCCCCCCTTCATCTGGACCGCCTGCTCCCTCCATAACTCATAAATATTATGTTTATGTTTCTGGAAGGGAAACACAAAAATATTCCTTATGTGGCCTGTGGATGTTTCTCAAATAGGGCATCTAGCCCTCACACACAAAAAAGGTTGGACCATCCAGGTTTAGAAAATTTAGATATAGGTAAGTTTTTCTGTCAAGTGGAAATCTTGAGTCTTACCTTTGAAATAGAGACAACAAAACAAAATACAGTATGAAGTGCTATACAATACATGTTGATATAGTCAGGAGGTGCCTCAAAGCGCTTCATTGCTGGCTGGACACTAACTGAACCGTTTATGCATTTCTTTTCTGTTAGGTATGTTCTTCCACTCTGGGGTCTAGTTTGTGGGTTGGATTAGCAACCCATTGGAAAATGAATAGGTTGGGTTAGCAAACTATAGTTGTAACCAGATGCCTTCATTTATTCCAGAATCATCTGCTATCCTTTTCATTGCTTAATTACACAATTTACGAAGAATGTACAGCACGGAAACAGGCGACTTGGCCCAAACAGTCCACATGAGTCTTCGTCCAATCCTTATTCCCTCCCATATCCTTCTATTCCCCTCTCCCTCATGTGAAGGTTTAGCATTCCTATTGAATGCTTAGCTTCCTCTTGAATGCATAATTTAAAGCACCTATAAATCCCTCTGTACACATGCATTTGTACTTAGTTAACCCAGCCCACAAATGCACATGAATTGCTAACCTGTAAATTAGCCCCAGTCTCGATGTATATGAACCCCTGTTTATTTTGTTTTGTTTTTCCTTGTTTTCCCCAGGTCCTGTCAAATCGAGTGGGAATGTTTCATCCAATATTCACACAAACGCCTGGCAGAATTCCATCTTTAATGTGTCTATCCATGCAGCAATCCGGTATGGGAACTGGAAACTATTAACTGGAGATCCTGGTATGGATAAGATTTAAATATACTTTGCAATTTTACATTTTGTACTGGACGTGTATGATCAAACACAACTGCTTTCTTTTTAATTAATGATCAATTACAGTTAGAGGTCGACCGAAACCTTTTGCAGATGATGGAACTTCCAGCTGTCATTTTCAGTTTAGAAAAGCATCAAGCACCAGGTTAAGTCATTTGCACCAAATAATCCCAAAGGTATTCAGGAGGTTATCCAGCAGTAAAGGCCCGTCTGAAGAGGTCTCTGAACAGTTGCTGCAACTTAGTCGCTTGGGATCAATCAGCTCTGCTTTCACAGGGATGTCACTTCAAGGCACAAGCCAAATCTCTGCATCAAATCACTGTAAAATTGGCTGACAGAAGCAGTCCTTCGAGTTTTGATAAGTGTATTTGTGTGTGTGTGTGTATATATATATACACACACACAAAACATATGACATGTAACACATTAAGTCAATACGGCGAAGCCCTATAATACGGAGTAAGATCACATTTACCTTGCAGAACTGGTATTGATGGCAATTCTACCTTTTGATGGTAGTGTTAGAGGCAGACCACTTAGCACTGCTCCCCTGGAGAATGAACTCCGAAGGTATTCAGGGTAGTGGTGAGAAGGTAGGCAGGTAACATAGGCAATTGACCAAGATGGGTTGGGCATGTCCTGTCTAATGGCAGCTTCCTGATCTTAAGTTACTAAATTAACTGGACTTCAACAAAACCATTCTCTCATAAGCTGTTGACCAATATTCACTTAACAATGAGGTATATTGTGCTGCTTGTCTCACTGCAACATCTAGTTTGTCAATGACACTGCTCCCCTTCTCTGGGGAGTTAATGGGACCTTTTGTTTGTGGGGTAATGGGATAAATTTGCAATTTTACCCCTGGTGCTTAGTTTTGCTGTTTGAGGCAATATCACAGTGGTGAGGTTACTGATCACATTGAACAGCTTTGTCAATTACTTGTTTCAGCCATTGCACATGTTATTGATCACCAGAGCAACCATCCAGGAGTCAAAGGGTTACGTTAATCTGTTTTGGCTCCTTTTTTTCTTGCTCTCGGCATCACGGTGACTTCATGCCCTTATTACAGGAAAGTATTTATACAAGAGAATTAATGATATTAACATCATTACCTCAAGGCTATGGGGTGGGGGAGGTGGTGGTGTGAAGGGAATCTGTAGTTAATTATAGTGGATGCTCTGTGTTCAGTATATTTGTAACACATTAACTTGTGCAAGCCTTAGGCTCTGGGTAATGTGTTTTTCCTCAGCAGCTGTGCCTGTTTGTGTAGCATATGGCCCGGGTGGTTTGGATTAAAGTTCACACTGCGTCAAATTATTAGTGGATTGTCTGACCTCAGTGAAAGCTTAAGCCCTTACTAATAGGAAGTGTACTGTTCACTGCAGGGTGCAGTTACTGGTTTCCGCCACCATCACAGTTGAGTCAAGCAGACGTACCATTACCCGACTCCCCGAAGAAAAAAGTCCAGCTTTTCAACATCGAATTTGATCCTCAGGAGAGACTTGAACTGTCTGAGAGATTCCCCAAAGTCGTCGAGAAGCTGCTGCTCAGGCTCCAGCACTATCAGGATGGTGCTGTGCCCATTTACTACCCGGCCTCTGATCCCAAGTGTGATCCGAGCAAGACTGGAGTCTGGGAGCCTTGGGTCTAGAACGCAGGACTTGAGTGAGGAGTGTTTTACAACTATTGAGATCTGTTTTACTTGGAGTTCAATAACAGGTAACCAGGTCTTTGCAAAGGAACAGATCTTACATGGATGATGCCCTCTGTCTTGTCCTCCATGACCTCTCTCCTGCTTTTGACATAATTTACCACTCCATCCTTCTCAATTACCTCTCCTCCCTCATCCACCTTTATGGAACTGCAGTCTCCTGGATCCAATCCTTTATAAATGCAATTTATTGTTGTTTGTTCTATTCTGGAATGATGAGAGCAAATTGGAACCTCCTCTTCATTTCCCATCATGTACAGGAAAGCAGAAGCCTAATGTCCTCTGTGATTTTAGTCTGAACAGTACTGGTGGCTGTAGTCTTTGTGGAGTCGGACACTGTCCTGAATAAACATTTCCTGTGTGCTCTGTGACCCTACACTGTGCTGTCTTGCCCTTCAGCTAGATCTCTCAATAAAGAAAGTTTTTTTTTCAAAAGAAACTACAGCCAGCCTCAAAAATACACCTAGTGAGTGTGGTAGATTTTGCTAAAGTGAAATAGCAATGGTAGATAGGCATTAGTGGCTTCTGTACATGATGGGAAATGTGTTGTATAGTAACCTCAGAATGACAGAGTTAGATAAAATCCTGCGTTTGCTTGGCTTGGAAACCAAGAGGTCCATTGACCAGCCAAACTGGCTCAGTGGAAGGAATCAGACCAGTAAACAAGTCACTGAGGCCAGTTTCTGTTAATTCTGCAAGCCAACACCCTAGTGGGTAGGATTACTGTTGTCCTTGGAAGACAAGGAGTAGGAAGCTTGACAAATGGTGTTTACAACCAAGCTGCACAGTTTGAGCTAGTGAAACTGCGTTTCACACAACACATACTCTGGGAGCACAAAGCTTTGGCTCTTACCAATGTGCATCTAATATTTCCCAAAATTTGGTAAGCAGGGTGAGTCTCTCTGGGGGAAGAGTGTGCGCACCATTCCAGAAAGACAAACATTTTTGTGTGTGGGTGACATGGATATGTGGAACTCTGTTTTGTTTGGATACTCTCAAGCATGGAGATGGGTTTCCATATGCATCAAACACCTGGCTGACCAAAACAAATTGTCAATTTAAACTATGAGATCAAGTCCCAATGTGAACATTGAATCTACAACCTTCTGACCCAGAGGTAAACGATCTAAAGGCAATATTATTCTTCCTAAAATTAGGTGACAGGAACAACATATATTGTACTCGAGATAAAATTGGACCAACGCTAAATACAGCAACATTTTAACTTCCTTTGATTTGTGGTCTGCCCATCTGCTAACATAATCCAATACCTCGCATAGCTTTTTTTAACTGCACCCAAGATCTAACCTGACAGTTTATCCACAATAACCTCTACCTATCTTTCCTGATGCATCTCTTCTATTTTTCATTCCTTGCTCCAATCCTTATTATTTTACATTACGACAACAACTACAACTTACATTTATATAGCTCCCTTCCCATGATGTAGAGTCTCGGAGCACTTAGCAATAGTGGAGCTAGATGCTGAGCCAGGAAGAGAGGGATGGTGACTGTAGGCATGGTCAAAGAGGAAGGTCTTCAGATGCAATCTGAATTCAAGCAAGGAAGGGGTTGGGGGAGGAACTGAGGCAGAATTCAGGGAGTGGGGTGTAAGCAGGTAGGAGAGGTAGGGAGGTGCTTGGGCGTGAACTCATTTGTAAGTAAGTATAAGAATCTTGATACTTTCAACTGTATTCTCTTGCTCCAGTTATCTAATGCCTTGTACTTCACTTCCAGCAGAGCACTGAATGAAATGGGAACTCATGTTCGTAGCTCCTGCTTCTCATCCCTTTGCTCAGGGGATTTTATATTTTTTTAAAAATCAACACTGTATTCACGTACTGAACTCCAAAATTAATCTTCAATTTCTGATTTTAATAAAATGATTCAAAACATTCAGAAATGTCTGTTGCAAATTCTTGGCTGATAATAAGCTCCCTCTCCTTTATGAATCCATGCTGACTATCCTTCCTCAATTTGAGGTTTTCCAATTCTTCACCCGCTATCAATTATAATCTTTGCATTTGATGTAGCACCTATAATACTCAACAGCACTTTATGGCTAAATGTTGTCAAATACATGTATAGACAAACTTGGCAACCACACAGCAAGGTTCTGCCAAGAGCCATGAATGAATGATGAATTAATCTAGATTTTATTGGCCGGAACACCAGGAGAAACTCCTCTCTTTTCAAATATTGCCATGTGAACTTTAACAACTTCAAAGTTCAGGCAGACAAAACCTTGGTTTAGCATCTCAATTAAAGGATGGCATCTCAATGAGGAGCTCCCCTAGTACTGTCACAGAGACAGAAGTGCTGACAACTGAGGTAAGCTGACACTTAATTTAATCAATTTGGGTGCTTAAAGGCAAAAAAACAAGCTATCTTTCTGTTTTTGATTGTTGAAAAGCACTGTCAAAGATGAGAATGACGTCAGGTGTATTTTAATTTTTTTTGTGGTCTACAGAAACTAAACCCAAAACAGTAACCTGGAAAGCCTGCATGGAATGGGGTAGATCTCACTGGGAATATACCCTAGGAGCACACAGAGTGGGTGATGTGAAGTGCAGTGTATTCAGTATCCCTGATATCTCAGGTCTAAAAATTCTTGTAACCTTTGTTTCAAACTTGCAAAAAAGCACCAAATTTCAGTACAGTCTTGAAATTCAGTCCTTTAAGAAATGTGGTCAGAAAATTGGGTTTTCTGGGAAACTGGAAAAATTGTGGTCAGAAAAATTAAGAGTTAATTTAGGAATCTACCAAAATTCTCTATGATTCAGGAATGAAAAGGTGGTGGAAGCAAATTCGATCGAAGCTTTCAAAAGGTAATTGGATGGGTACTTGAAAAGGGAAAATTTGCAGGCTATGGGGTAAGAGTGGGACATATTGGTAGCTTTTTCAAAGAGCCTGCACAGGCACGATGGGTTGAATGCCCTTCTTCTGTGTTGTAAGATTCTATAATTCTATGATTTTAAATTTAAGACAATGGTCTTAAAGCTGAGACCAGAGAATCACAGGACTGATCTTTTATGTAATAGTGGCCTTATCGGGCAATCTTAAGCAACTTTTTCTCCTGTCCTCTCCCATTCAGAAAGTCCTGTTTGTGCCCCTGACAGACCTGTCTAGGGATGAGTCTTGTGGTGCAGCAGATAGACACTATCAAACTGGCCTCAAAGTAAACAAAGGAAATGGGATTACTCTTTGTGCCCAGTACAACAACAACAACAACAACAACTTGGATTCATATAGCGCCCTCCATGCTGGATGGCGTCTCAGAGCGCTTCACAGTTACGGATCCATGGGGCCGAGCCGGGCCGGGGGGGGGGGGAGGAAGGTGACCAAAGGTGCGTCGAAAAGAAAGAAAGGTCTTCAGCAGAGACCTGAAAATAGGAAGGGAGGGAGCGAGGCGAAAGGAGTGAGGAAGGCAGTTCCAGAGCCTCGGGGCACAGTGGCTGAAGGGACGGCCACCGAGGGTGAAGTGGAGGACTCGGGACGAGGAGGAGGCCAGACCCGGAGGAACGAAGGCAATGGGTACTGTTTTATGATTCTGTGATATGATTCTTGTGTATATTCATTTATAATGTGCTGCCTCTGCTTTCTTCTCCCTTCTGTCTCTCCAATTAATGCATATTCAGGAGGCTGAGCATACGCTATGCTTTCACTAACTGTAAACAGCTGTAGGACAACAATTTCTCCAGCAGCACTTCCTTTGTGCAGCAGTAGTTTGCCTACTGGTCTAAAGCATCATGTGTATCTGTGAACATTTGTTTGATTAATTTCCAGGGGCTGAAAAATAAGCAGACACATAATAAAGAACAACCCCAACAACATAAGAATTATAAAATAATTCCACTGGGTGTTTAATTGGTAGGCTTAAACCATCCTCGCGTATTTGGTATAGAGAGCAAACTACTTTTTTTAAAATTATTTCTTTATTCTCTGCCTTCATCTATTTAAAAGAATAGATACTTGAAGAGAGATAATATTACAAGGGTATGGGGACAATGCAACGCAATTGGGAATAGACTGCTGTGCGTGCAATTGGCTGCCGCGTTTCGCCCACAAATATACAGTCAATTCACTTTATAGTATATTCTAGAAGACGTAAAAAGCGCTATATCAAATGCAAGGATTATTATTTATTATTATTAATAGAGGATCGATAGGCTGAATGGCTTCCTCCTGTGCTGTAATTGCATGCATTTCTGATGAAAAGTTCTGCTGAAATCGTCAAAAAAAAATTATCTTTCTGATGCTGAAGATAATTAGAGATAAATAAAGATAGTTAAAGTCCTGTGGATTTTCAATGCTTATTTCAGTTTCAGATGAGCAGCATCTGCAGTGTTTTGTGTATTTCTATTGGCTAAATTTCTCACATACATTATCATTCTCACTTTATGGCTGTTTGTCAGACATTGCAGTGTGCAAATTGGCTGCCATATTTGCCCACAAAATACATGGTCACTCCTCTTTGCATTGTATCACGTGAAACCTTTGAGATGTCTTCCTGCTGTGAAAGTTGATACATCAAATATAAGGATTATTTATTATTATTTTTAATTATCAGTTAGGAGGGCAGCATATTTAGAAGGTTTCCAGCACAGAAAGAAGCCTTTGGTGTCCTCCCGACACAGTATTATAAATACTGTTGTTTTTGGTCCAATTGTGTGTTTGCTGGTGCCCTAAGGCCGCTACCCGTCGAATTCCCTCATACTATTTTCCCAGTTCCCTTAGATATACTGTTATGGAGAGAAACGACTTTGACATTCATTTGTGGTAGGGATTTCCACATTCTAACAACCATCTGTGTCAAACTCTGTGTCTTCCAAACTCCCATTGTTATTTCTTCTGGTGATAATCTTGAATTCATGTCCTCTTTTTACTGACTTGCCTCTCACTGAAAACAGTCGCTATTAAGCTGATCAAATCCATTCATAATTTTGAAAGACTTTGTTAGATTTCCTGCCCCTCCCCTGGCTTTCACTGATCCACTTAACTCTAACCTCTCATTCCCTAGGATCAGCCTTGTGAAACTCTGTAAATGCTTCCCTACTGTTCACCCTGCTTAATGGCATACTTCAGCCATGCGATCAGTCCTCGTCCCTCCTTCAGCTGACCTGCTGGAGTCCAGAAACCTCCCCCACACATTACCAAGAAAACCCAAGTGAGAGATTCAGCTGAATAATTGCCAGTCTGCCATTCTCATCACCAGAAAGAAATGGATTTCCAGATTCCTGCACAAAACCTTACCAAGGTCAACTTAGCAATCATTTTCCATATGCAGCGGCCACGAGACTGAATACAAGACAGAGCTAGATACTGTGTCACAATAACCATAGTAACATAATCTGATGATTGTTTCCTATGTTTGTTGGAAAAACTGAAATATAATGGGATAGGAGTCATCATGAGGCTTGAATACAATGTACTTCAACGGGCATCATGTTGTTACTTAGAAAAACTGATCTCAGAATTTTGAGGAACATTTTTGAGGAGTGTATTTCCACCGTCTCCCACCAAATTGAAATTGCAGATATTTGGGAAAAAAACTAAAGTATTCTGAGAAAGCCATTAATTTCTGGCAAGATCCTCAACAGAGAAAAAAAATGAAAAGCACAGGATCTTCATTAACAGAGTCATTCCAAAATACTGCTTTAATAATTCCGCTAGAATTTCTCTTTTTTCCCCTGGCCAGTTTTCTTTCCTTCATCCTTCTCCCCTGAAGGTACTTTAAAATAATTTTACTCTCTCCTGGGATTTTGGTTATAAAAACCTGCCCTACAATTAACTGACTTGAGCAAATTTAAATAATAAAAATAATAATCCTAAATAATCCTAATAATCCTAGTGCATTTCACATGGGAAAGTGCTCCACGGGATACATACTATAAAGTATAATGACTGTGCATTTTTTCCACAGCAATTTGCGAACAGCAATGTCCCACAAACAGCGAGGAAGTGAATGACCCATTTTTTTTTCATCCGTCCTTCCGACGTGAAAGGCTCTTACAAATCTAATTTAATCTTGTTGCTATTATTGTTGAATCTGCTTGACCGCAATTTTAACCATCTTCTCCCCCACCATCACCACGCACCTCAGCCCCACCCCCATCTTTGAAACTCTTGGAAGTAACATGACCGACATGAACTCTATAGGGCCTTGGTGAGACCGCACCTAGAGTATTGTGTGCAGTTTTGGTCTCCTTATTTAAAAAAGGACATACTAGACCTAGAGCGGGTGCAGAGTAGATTCACTCCGTTAGTTCCTGGGATGAGGGGACTGACTTATGAGGATAAGCTGAATAAACTAGGGCTGTATTCTCTAGAGTATAGAAGAATTAGGGGGGATCTTATTGAAACATATAAGATTCTTAAAGCACTGGATACAGTAGACACTGAGGGTCTGTTTCCCCTGGTAGGAGAATCTATAACCAGGGGTCACAGTCTTAAAATTAAGGGTCAGCCTTTTAGAACAGAGTTGAGGAAACATTTCTTCACTCAGAGGGTAGTCAATTTATGGAATTCACTACCCCAGAAGGCTGTAGATGCTCAGTCCTTGAACATCTTCAAGGCTGAGACAGACAGATTTTTAAAAAACAGAGGCATTAAGGGATATGGGGACAGGGCAGGTAATTAGAGTTAGGTCTGAAGATCAGCCATGATCTTATTGAATGGCGGGCAGACTCGAGGGGCCGAATGGCCTACTCCTGCTCCTAATTCTTATGTTCTAATGAAAGGTACCATATAAATGTAGACTTGTTGTTGATATTGTTGCTATCAATTGGGGTGCCATTACTGCAGCCAGGGCTGAGATCAGTGAACTTGTGCACAGTATTTTCAAGCTGCTCTTTCACTGTGTGGAACCTCAGGCCACATCAAGTGCAGACTCCTGATTTTATAAGTTAATCAGTATTTTCCATCACTTGCGCTTTTATAAGCCACATTTGAACCTCACCTTGTGAAAACCTCAGTACAAAGGGAAACTCACTGTTCATCCCAATTTTCAAGTGACCGCCCTTAATGGAGTCCTGTAGCTCAGTGGTTAGAGCTCTCGCGTTGCAAGTGAGAGACCTGAGTTCAATTCCAGGCAGGTCAGGGCGAAACCTTGGGCAAGTTTCCTTACTCCACACAGAGCCTAATAATAATCCCTCCAAAAAACAAAACAATAATAAATTGGTCATTTTCAATCCACAACTGTTTGTGGGACATTGCTGTGCGCAATTGGCTGCCGCGTTCGCCCACAAATATACAGTCAATTCACTTTACAGTATATTCTATATTCAGTATATTAAGTGCACTTAACAATGTAATGGAAACAGGAACCAGTAATGCACTTGTTTTCAGACCACACATCAGTTCTTTAAAGGTTGTCATTATAATAATAATAGTAATCTTTGCATTTGATATAGTACTATATCACTTCTTCAAGACGTTTCAAAACGCTTTACAGAATATACTATAAAGTGAATTGATTGTATATTTGTGGGCGAAACTGTCATGGGCATTGGGGTGAAGGTGTGCATTAAAATGTTTTAAAAGTACGCATAAAAAATGATACTAGATAACAGTTCATCAAAGGTAATAATGCTAAGAATTGCCCCATAGTTCCTGATGAGTGATAGTTCACTGACGTATTTTCAATCAGTGAAGTACAGTGCTGACTCCTCGGATAATTCTTCCTGAGAATGTTTCCATCTGTGCACATAAGGAAGACAAGTTCCTCATAACTGGTATAATATTTTAACACAGACGCCAGGAATTATTACTCAGAGCTGAAACACAGATTACAAGTTTGAAAAATGCTTGTAGTATTGACTGGGGAATTTGTGGCGGATCTTTGAAGACTGCAAACAGAGTGTGGGGGTGTGCACTGGAGTGAGCTTAGCCTGAGAACCGAGATATCCTAATTTGTCTGATTCAGACACATTGGGGGTGGAGGAAAGGGGAAATGAGCTCATGGTTCAAGAGTTAAGCTTTCTACAATTTGTTTGGGACTGCAGCTGCAAAATGTGTTAACTAATGTCTGTCTACTCAGGCTCCCCGAATGTTTTAAGCACTTAAAGGCACCACCAAGTGTGGTACTGAGGCACCCAGTCTTTCAGGAAGATCCCAGGTTCGATTACCTATCCAGGATGTTTGTTAATTTCAGTTGGTGCACAGATTGGCATACTAGAATTAGCCTCAGTGTCCCTACCTGGGGAAAGGGATACAAGCCAAAGCTTCTGATTTTGGTCATGATTCAGTGATCCCTTCTGGCAAGCATACTTGTACATATGTGAAAACAGCAATGAGCCCCTTGGGGTTGAAAAATTACTTATCGGGAAAACAGCAGGGTTAATGGCGCCTGAAAACCAGTAAAGCTCGTCTCGGGACAAATATAATATTAATACAGTACTTGCATTTGATATAGTGCCTATAACATTAAAATATCTCAAAGCACTTCTCAGGGAATTGCTGTGAAGCATAGTGACTGTATTTGCAGACGAACAATGCAGCCAATTTCTACACAGCAATTTTCCACCAACAGCCAT